CCCTCAGGGCCACGCGTTGCCCCGGTGGCGACGATGGCGTCTGGGCTTGCTGGTAGAGACATAACATGAATTTTATTTTTATTAGTAATTTTGGGTTTTAGGATACGCCAGTTGTACTCTAATGCACGCCATGGTTCCGGTGTACGCTTTCCCAGCACTCTGTAGCAAAACAAATTGTATACCCACACACGTCCACCCGCCTGATGTAGAACGAAGTAGAACGGAATGAACATCCAGTGGCACACGTTTTGCGCCTGGCTCACGCGTACCGGGCGTATTTGCCCCTCTGGTGTGCGACACAGCGTCTGCGCGTGCTCGCCACCGACCGAGACGAGCCCGCGCACCGCGGCGCACGCCTCCTCTAGCCTGTCCGTGGCGAACGCGACGGAGGGCGTGGCGGAAGAACGACAGGATCTCGACCGCGGGCTGCGCACAGACGTGTCAGCGCCCTTTCACACAGCGTTCGCGCGAACAAAAAAAAGGGGGGTGGACCGTGTAGCATTGCTGCAGCATCGCGCTCGCCATGCGGGAACGGCTGTCCCTTCCGATACGGCGGGATCAGCTGGCTGGCAAGTCCATACTCGTTCAGAGCCACGCTCGACGGTCTCCATGGTCGTATCACTACCACTCTGCACAGACCTCCTTCCTGAGATTCTTGTAGAGCATGTCGGCATATGGTGTCTTGCAGGCAGCACGGTATGACTAGCCTGTGAGAGAGGTAACGGTGACAGTGAGTATGGACGGTAGGCTGCTGGGCGCTGCGCTCTGATTGACGGCCGGGAGCGGGCCGCCCAGGCCGTTGCACACGGTTCCCCGCACAGGCAGCGCGTTTTGAGCTGTAACCGTCCACGCAAATGAAACGCCGAGAAGCACGCGAAGGTGGAGGCCTAGGAGCTCTCGTGTTGGGTCGGATGAGGTGGTACGAAGAATCTCGTGTTTACATGCCCAAAACCCACGAGTGACGCACAATTTTCAAGTATGCTGTACTTGAAGGTATTTATATCAGTTGTTAATCTCCTTTTATGCTTAGAGAATTACCCCCCTCCTGCTATGCTGCTGGGAACCCGTCCGATGCGTCGGCGCTTATGAATATCCGAAAGCGGTATCACAACGCTGGCTCATTTGTCTCCCTCACGAGATGAATTAGTTCCTCTTTTGTGCAAAAAGAGGTCCAAAAATGTATACGATATTTTTCACAAAAAGAGCTAAACACTTCTCCTGAGAAGAAGCAGTGCTATTTGCAGCATGAAAAGGTGTGCTATTTGACTTTTTTTTTGAGCGTGGGAGGAATTCAAATATTTCTAAGGAAAGTAGGGTATATATTCTTGTGCCTATTTTCGGGCAAAATAATGATCGCCCTCTGTGATCACCCACTCATGGTATAACCACATAGCATGAGCAGGTGATCACTATTTAAGCTGAAAATAGCCACCTCTTTTGCAAGAAAATATATGCAAGATTAAATGGCCTATTTACATAGGGAATATTTGGGCTATTTTTATGCTCAAAAATAGCATACCTTTTCATGCTGCAAATAGCACCACTTTTTCCCAGAATAACTGCTCAGCTCTTTTTGCAAAAAATATGTGCCATATTTTTGGACCTCTTTTTAAATGAAAGAGGAACTAATTCATCTCATGCCTAATGTGACCATCATCTATTAGAGCCT